CTACCCCCACTTTAGCCCCCTCCTCTCTCTCCCTCGCTCTCGCTCGCATTTCTCCTCTCGCTCGCTCGCTCGCTCATTCCTCCGAGCCGAACCCTATCTAGACCCTCTGCAAGCCCCAGACCACCAGAGACCGACCGAGTCCGGACTGTTCATCGATCCACCGCGCGCGCGCGCCGTCGTGAAAGTGAAAGGTTTCGCACTCTCTCTTTCACGCTCTCCCTCCTATTTCTCTCTTTCTCCATCTCTTTCTCTCTCCCATTTCTCGCCCCTGCGCTTTTTTCTGTATGGGGTAGGGAACGGGTCGCGGTTCGTGTCCCTGCGCAGAGTGGCTCCGCGCCTCTCTCTCTCTCTCTCTCGTCCGTCTCACTCACGCACGCACTATACTCCTCCGCCCCCACTCCCCGTGATGAGAGAGTTATGATCAGTGTCGTCTGCTTTATCGCTGGTATAAACGCATCCCTGGGCGGCACGGAGTGCTCCCTCCCCTCCCTTCGGGCTCGGCTCGGCTCGGGTCGGCTCGGCTCGGCAGGGTGCGAGCAAATTGCTCCCCGAATTGGCAACAGACTGCGGCGCGGTGCCTGACATGTGCGGGGCGCTCATTACCTCCGCCGGTGCAATTCAGTTTGTCATGTTGCAGAATATATATATATATGTTATGGTAACGCTATTATTTTGATGAGTTTCTCCGGGCGCTGCTGTCGCGCTGTCGTAATTAAGTCGCGCCGCAGCAACGTGTGTTGTGCGTAACGCTTGTTAACGCGCGTGTAACGCTCGACTCGAGCGCCGCCGACCGCAGTATAAAGCAAACATGTAGCCAAGTTTTTATATTTTATGTGTTGTCGATTGGCGTGTTGTTGAACAAAAAAGAAGTTACACACTCACCTCTCTATGACCCAACACCCAACCATTTAAAAATGTATAAAATGTAATACGTCAAAGTAAAAGTGTGTGAAACTAAAAGCTTTGCTCTGCCGCGAGCATTGACGTGTTCGTTCTGTGTAAACGATTTATCTATTCTTTCCCGGGCGCCGCCGCCGTGCTTTACTTTCTCAACTTTACGAGAGTGCGGCCTGCTGCTCTGGCGGCCAGCCAGCTGGACGGCGCGGCCCCGCCAGCTTCCTTCTTCTCTAGGCCGCCCTACGAGCAGCGCACGGCAAAATGTGAATCCGGGAGGACAAAAAAACAAATTTGAGGAAGTGGCACCACTGTGGACGTTTTTTTGTTGTCTTTGTAATATGACGTTGACTTTTAAAAGGATTTTTTTTTTTCCATTTCCGTTGATGAGTTTGCCGGTGCGCCTCGCGGCGACCCCCGCCTGCCTGTATATGCCCCCATCGGGCCCAGCGGCGGCGTGTTGCCCTTTGGCGTCGAACGTCTGTTGATTGACACGCCTTTCGGGGGCCTCGGTGCGGGCCTGGGCGCCCCCGCCGTTCTCTGTGACTGGCATGGAGACGTGCGGGATGGGGTACGGAGGGCGGAGGGGCTGCCGCAGCTCCAGGGAGAAAACACGTAAATATGGCAAGGCCCTACCTCATTTATTTTTTATTTTTTTTTAGGGAAAGACAGTATTTTGTTTTTTGGATTAAAGATGAAAGCCGAGCGACAACACAGCGACTTATTGTGAAAAATGTATATTTTTAAATTTAATAGTTATGTA